CGGTGCCTTTGAACTTGGGCTCTTGCACTCTTCAATAATTCCAGAAATTATATCCCAAAGCTGTGCTCTTTACTAATACCAGGAGTTTCCAAAGTCCTGTCGTGAGCAGTGCTGGTCTGTGACAGGTGTTCTGTTCCTTCCCTGCAGCAGAGCAAAAAGAACGTGTACTGAGCTTCTCAGGAAAGTCAGATTTACTCCATGATGGTCTTATATTTGGTATTGAGAATGAGGAAGAATTAAAAAAATCAGTCTCGGTATAGAAGGAACATTTTGTTTGATTTTATGTGATAAATTTAGAATTAATACTATGACATCCACATGGATACACACAAGCACAATTGTGTGCAAGGTTTACATGTGTATAAAGTCTTTATGGATACAAAATTGAAGTTATGTGAGTCACCAAATTAATCTAAAAACAAATGCAAAGCAAAAAAGTAAAACAACTTGCTTACTATTTCCTAACGTGCATACATCAGGTTATCTTTTGATAGAGTTTACACAGCAGTTTCTCTCACTTTTTCCCTCATAATTCCATACATTTTCTTTAAAAAAAATGAGATGAACAATACAGAAAATACATAGGGAGTGCAAAAATTTATTTTTCAATTCATGGAAACATAATAAATTGTTTTTGAAAATTGAAAATATATTTTTAAATTATTGTCCTAATTGAAAAAGCTATGTGAATATAATTGAAGATATCCTTTTTCTGTTAGGTAATACAGATTTGATTAATAGAGTCTTGCTGGATGCAGGTTTTACAAATGAACTTGTCCAAAATTACTGGAGTAAGCAGAAAAATATGTAAGTATTTGTTCTTATTAACACAAAAATACAGATTCTGCATTTCAGTTTAGCTTCTCCCTGGGGAATGTTTAGATAATGGACCTAATAAATTTAAAGTTTATTATTTATCTTTTTAATTTTATTTTTGTTACTTTGTGTTTATAGTACATAATGGTTGTGTTCATCATAGGGAGTTAATTCATATACAGAACAGATGTTTATCTCTAACAAGGAAATCACTTTGTAATTGTTGACAGCTTGCATTTTCAGTTTGGGTGTATTTGCATAATAAAATGTACTGCTACTCAGATTTACACGTTGGTAAGAATGAACCACATGAGATAGGCCGTGTTCATCATAGGGAGTTAATTCATATACAGAACAGATGTTTATCTTTAACAAGGAAATCACTTTGTAATTGTTGACAGCTTGCATTTTCAGTTTGGGTGTATTTCCATAATAAAATGTACTGCTACTCAGATTTACACGTTGGTAAGAATGAACCACATGAGATAGGCCCGTTTGTGCCTTCCTGTGTTTGAGAGGAAGTTGGATTCTAGTGAAGAGTTAGTTGGCTTTCTAACTGAACTTTTCAGACATCCAGTGAAGAAACTGAGAAATCTGTTATGATTCTCATCAAGAACCCTTTTTTCAATTCATAACTAAATGATACACGTTCCCTGACAGTGTCCTTTCTCCTTCATGAGCAGTGCCTTATTACCCCACTCTTAAGAAATTCCAGCAACTGATTTTCCAGCCTGCTAGGGCTTCCCTCCCCTCCACATACAGCTCCCGGCCCGTTCTCCTTAGAGTGCGTTCCTGCCAGCCTCTTCCGGTGGGCAGTGCTACTTTCCAGACTCATGAAGCTCCCGAGTGTGACTCTCAGCGTGGGTCCTGAGCTGCCCATCCTTAAGACCTTTGTATTTGACGTCTCCTGTGCCTTTCCCTCTGCCTTACGCCTTTCTTACCCCAGACCCCAGTACTCTCCCTTCACTTCCGCTCATGCACACTTTTCTCACTACCTGGGATAATTTCCTATTTCTTTGTCACCCCGTCCACCTGTGTTCCACGCTCAAGCCGTCATCCCCTGTGAGATCCCTTCCGTCTGCAGACTCCCACCGAGTACTTTCTTCATCGTTTTCTCATTCGTTAAAACATAGTTTTGCATCTTCGCCTTCCTTTCAGAGCTTGTCCGTTCCCTTCTGAGTCACCAAGACCTAACCTGGTATCTCCGAGTAAGTTTAACACAAAATTCTCTTCTTTTGTCTTTGCTTCAGCAAGGGAGTGAGAGCACGGTTTGTTGTGACTGACGGTGGGATTACCAGAGTTTACCCCAAAGAGTAAGTTCAAATAACGTTTGTAAAAATAGCCGCGTTACGGCAGGCTGTGCCAAGAAGCCGTGCACTACTCTATAAGGAAGCCATTCTTGAGAGAAAGCTGTTCGATGTTAGATTAAATTGCAGTGTGGTTTAAACAGTTATATTGAAATATATTATAAAATTTTTTTCTGAAAAATTCTGCACAGGGTTTTTCAATAATATTTTTGCTAGTTCATTGAAT